TATGAGTCATATGATGAATATATTTATATGAAGGCTCTCCAGGAAGAAAATTGTACAGACTTACTTACCATATTCCCCCTAAGTACATATACTCTGATCCTGGTGAATATATGAGCCTACATGCTGATTTTATCACTCAGCCCATGTCTTTCATTTCCATTTTCATCAGAAATAAGAGCTCTGGGGGGACCTGGGCAACATGGCCAACTGAAGCCAACTTTTGGCAGAGGTTCCATTCCAGAGAGAGAAATAATGGCCAGAAATAACCCAAAAAAGTGGAAGATCGGGAGCTGAGCTGAGAGAGAGATGGATAGGTTCATGTTACCCTTGCTGTGACAAGCTGGGACTCCAAGGAAACAAATGTATTTTTCAGATACAAAACCCATCCCAAAGTGGACGGAAATCCCTCCCCTCCTCACAAGAGAGCAGTTTGAGATAAGTAGAGAACAGAGGACCTTTTCTTTCACCAAAGGGGAGAGAACACTGAGGGCCGGGACTCCCTCCATGGAGAGATGTACCCCATAAATGCATTAATGTATACATGATCTATGTGTTTATGATTTAAGAAAAAAAAAGAAATAAGAGCTCTGCCTTTCCTTTTCAGACCAACCCACTATAGCAGGATAGATTTTGGTTGGTCTCTGTTTTGTTTTTGATTAAATTGAGTAGGATTTTTTTGTATTAATTCACAACAAAGTAAGAAATATAGAGAAATACACAAATTTTCCTTTGATAATACCATGTAACAAGTCACTGGAGCAAGTTTTCCCTTCATTATTTAACCAGAGAAATAGGAATATTTTTTAGTATCCAAATAGTTAAAATTATGTTAAACATTTGTCTATTTCTAATTTTACCTGGATAACAATTTTTTTTAATGTTATAAGATATTCTTAATTGAGGTACAATATTATTACATTTTACTGGGGTATTATTAATGTAAGTTGAATAATATTTTTGGTGTTAGCAGGCCCAGTCTGGGTTCGAACCCTCCAGCCCCAAAGCATGGGGCTGAAGCTCTAACCACTGAGGCACAGGTGCCCCCTGAATAATTTTTTTTGAGGCAGATTTTTCTTCTGGTGCCCTAACTAGAGTGCCATGGCATTATAGTTCACAGCAACCTCAAGTTCTTGGGCTCAAGCAATCCTCTTGCCTCTGTTTTTCTATTTGCCATAGTGATAGGGTCGCGTTATTTCTCAGTCTGATCTTGAACTCCTGAGCTCAAGCAGTTGACCCACCTCAGCTTCCCAGAGTGCTAGGATTACAGGCGTGAGCTACCATGCCCAGTAGATTGACTAATTTTGATATATATGTTCAAGTGCTAAATTGTTTCTTGTATTACCAGGTTTATATAGAATATTTTTCAAAAATTTAAGTTTGCATGGGATTATTTAATGATAATCTAGTACTTTAATACCAAATAGTATTTGACTTTTGCCATGAAATGTGATTCTATTTCATTAAACCACATATGACATGTTGAAAAGAATTTAAAATAATTTCAACACATACACATATGCACATCAAATATTCTTTATAATGTTCTTCATATTTATTAAATTCAGTGATCCAGTTTCTATTTTGTGTAATTAGAAAAATTTCCCAAGTAGTTTCTACATACTTATGTGGATTATAACCTTTGAATCTTTGTATATACTAAACATCTTCTTTAACAAAAACTACTGAGTGATACTTCTGTAGCTTCTTGGCTAGTAAACCATTTCTACTACATTGAATAATTCTACCCCCACGTAATTCAAATTATTAATGGTGACCTTAAAATGTTTGTTTAGTCTCATTTATTTTGATTAACATTCTACATTACTCTCCAATGCTTTAAAAAGATTTAGATAGTTTTCTATTTACTATGGGATTGTACAAATTTCATCATAATCTATCAAGTTGTGTATTATTTTCTGCATTGGGCGAGTTTCAGTCTTTGGATTCACAGAAGACATGTCTCAATTAAATTAAAAGAACTCAATTAAATTGCCCATTAAACCATAAAGCAGAGATGTAAAATCTAGTGGTGGATTTCAAAAAAAGTATTATTCACTTTATTATGGTGATGCACAGAGTACACGTATTGATATACAAAGAAAAAGGCATAATTAAAAGTAAGTATTTTTAGTATCACTTAAGAGGCTTAAACACCTTCATTATTCTCCCTCATTTGGGCACTTTTCAATCTGTCCTTAACCCTTTTACAAGTGGTTCCCTAGAGCAAATATAATCTTCCATGTGGGGGTGGATCAGCACTGAGCATGGCAGGTTTTAGGGCATCTGCATTCTATTTCTTACACTTCTACCAAGGTAAGTTGTAGTATCACAGCAATTACAGTGGTTCCATCATAGTGTTGACACAAGTTGATCTTAACATTGATTAAAATACTCACTAATTTTTTAACTGTTGCTAATGTGTCCATACTGTAATTTCCTTGCCACAGGTCCAGAATTTTATTGCAATCACCAATAAATTTTATCTTAATAGATTCAGCCTAGCAATAGGAGTCTCTTTGAATGATGAACCTTTCCTAATGCAGATTTAGTATTTTCATCCCCAATAACATTCCAATAGTGTACTGTATTTCCCTTGAACCATTAGTCTATTGAGATAGAATGAAAAGGAATACAATTGTAGAGACGGAAAAAAACATGAAAAAGGGAAAACAAAGCATGACAAAAATAAATTGCTCTGTTAACTTAAACAGCATTTTACTACATGTGATGGTTGTAGGAAATTGGACAAGTATTCAGCACTCCGCCTTCCAAAGAGTGGAGTCTAATTTCTCACCTGTTGAGTATGTGCTGGGCTTAGTGTCTCATTGTAAAGACTAGAGATGGCTGAAGTGACATTATGTGTGTAGATAACAAATGGTATCCACAAGGCTTCTTTTACTTTCAGACCTGTGCTCTGGAGAGAATTAGCTGCCATCCCATCAATCCATGTGGTAAGAAACTGAGGCCTCCTGACCATAGCTATGTGGCTGAACCATGTAGGAGCAGATCCTCCAGCCCAGCTAAGCCTTCTAATGACTGGAGCCTGGGCCAGACTCCTGATTACAACATAAGGAGACAATCTGACTCCCATATACCTATTTAAGTACCTCTCAAATTGCTAACCCATAGAAACTGCGATATAATAAAGTTTTGTTGTTTTAAGCAAATATGTTTTCACATAAATTTGTTACTTCAAAACATAGTTAATATACTATGTGTTAAATGGCACTATTTTACTCAGTATTTGATATCAGATATTGTAAGAATTTTTCAGGTAGAGAAAGACACATTAACATACCACATATTTCATGTGGAGTAGTAAAAATTTGAGTTTTTAGTTTACAGCACTGTTTTTTACCCTATTTAAAATTGGTTACTTTCCAATGTGAAGACTTCTTCTAAAGTCTCTATTTTATACACATGAGGCAAATACTATGTACCTATTTTTATGTGTTTAAGAGAAAGCAACTTAAGAATTAAGAAGTGAGTCAAGATGCCAGGTGCAGTGGCTGACGCTTATAATCCTAGCACTTTGGGAGCCCAAGGCAGGTAGATCTCTTGAGCTCACTGGTTCTAGACCAGCCTCAGCAAGAGTGAGATCCATCTCTAAAAATAGCTGGGCATTTTGGCAGGCACCTGTATCCCTGCTACTTGGGAGGCTAAGGCAAGGGAATACTTGAGCCCAAGAATTTGAGGTTGCTATGAGCCATAATACTGTGGTATTCTATCAAGAATGACAAAGTAAAAAAAAAAAAGTAATTCAAGATATGAATGGAACTTACAGGTGCATCTTGGAGGAGGTGACCAGCCATTACTTGTGCATGTTGCTGTATTTACATGAGTTGCAGGATGAAATCCGTTTTTACACTCATACCTGATTTTGGCTCCAATTCTGTGTTTAATCCCAAAGGTGAGAAGATACCATTGGGAATATTGGGAGGATTACATGACTGTTCTGAAAAGTAAAATGGTATGTAGATAGTGTAGTAATTACTATTTATTAAAATTAGCCAAGTATACAAAAATTGAAATGTGGATGCTACTTAATTATCGTTTGCACAGTATAAAATGGTATTAAAGAGAACACAACATATCATTCCTACTAGTCACTCATATTTTCCTTCACTATCTTTCTTATCTGATAAATTTGTGCCTCCTGGGCTCTTATTCCCCCCTTTTATTAAGTTGTTTCATACTTCATGAAATTCCATGTCTGGCAATGACCATATCATATTTAATTTCAAGTGCTCCTTCAAATTTCTTCCATTTCCTTGGTTTCTGTTGTAGTCATAAGAAGTGTTTATGAATGTTCAGAGTCTCTTCCTTCCAGACAATTGATAGGATACATATCCCTTCTCTTTGAAGTAAATGTGGCCATATGATCGAATAGACCATAATAAAAGTGGAGGTAATATCTTGAGGGAGGAAAGCTTAAATGCCATTTATTGGAGGCAGGAAGGGGCAAATTGGATGAGTAGAGGCCACTTTAGTCAGAAGTTCTGTCCAGAAGGAGGAAAATTGGATTGAAGAGAACTGGAAGTAGTTGAAATGGGAGGAGGGTAGATTACAAGGAGAAGAAATCAAGGTACTCAGCCACCCCACCAAGACAAATTGCAAGGATGAAGATGAGAGAGAAGAAGAAAGAGAAGAGAGGGCAGTTATGCCACAGTCTGGATGAGCCCAGAGCAGAATAGAAGGTAAGGGAGACCCTACTCATACCTGGTGGGCTCTCTACAGGCATCAGGACCCAGGGCCTCTCACCCTATGTGAGAGAGTGCCAGAAAGGATAATTAGTCCCAGTTTGCCTACCTTTAGAAATGTTCCCCTTTAAATTCCCATCGTGCCTGTTGGAATAGTGAGCAATTTTGGCTCCAAATACCTGCTGACCACTATATATTCCCCTTATTTCTTTGGTTGCCCAACAGACTATCCTCTGCATGGTCTTGCTTATAGCAGGATGAGTTAGTGTGCTAGCCTGACTTAGATAGCCTGGGGGTCGCCCTCCCCCCCAGGCACTAAAATGGCCAAGGAAATTTGATCTCTACCCAGTGTCTATAGCAACCAAGGAAGGAAGGGTTACAGAGGCTACTTGCTTTGATATTGGCAACTGTCAGGATCTTTAACTGGCCTGGGAGAACAGTAAGACAATCTCTGTCTCCCCTCCCGTGATATGTCTGGCAGCATCGCTTAGGGACCTCTGCATTATATGGCCTGGGTGTGCCTTGCCTCTCCTTCTTTCCAGCCCCCTGCCCAGCAACTGTGGCTCAACCATCATAATTTTGGCAAAGTAGGGGTCCCTCTTGAGTCTTCTTCCTGCTGGGGAATTTTCCCTGCCCTCTTCAGTGGCTCTGTTCAGCATCTGTTCTCCTTGGGCTCCTTCAGGAGGTTCAGCCCCTTTGTGGACATGGAGAGGGTGATCTGGCTCTGGGAAAGCCCAGGAAACAAGTGGAATATCCTCCTCCCTCAATTACAGGTAAAAGCCCCTACTTTTCAAAATTATTGCAGCCAGGACATCAATGAAAACCACAGCGTTCTGAATTTGTTTGCATGCTAAATTGGCACTGTGGCTGGAACAGTTTGGCAAGCCTGTCCCGCAACCCCAAGTGAAAATCATTGCCTATCAAATCTGTTGAGACAGGGGCTATGGCAAGCCAGCAGTTTTTTAATTTGTTAAAGCGGGAACAGTTCAGTTTGCTAGGTGGGACCACCCCCAGCCTAGGAGCATCACCTGTAGGCCCTGCCTCAATACCCACTGCACCCAGCCTGGAGAAAGCAAGACCAGTTTTCTGAAATCCTCACATGCTGCAACCCCTGAAAGAGACCTTTGAGGAAAGGGCACCAGTATAACCAACAACCCATTTGAGCAGTCAGTAGTGAAGAGGAGTGCCACACTCCATATCCTGGACCTCTCTGGATATGATTTAAGCCCACCAGTTTTCATTTCCAGACAGATCTCAAAAGTGTTGCCTAAGGGACCCCAACAAGCTTATCTCTCAGTAAAAGAGACAACCTAACATTCCATCTTTAAAAGCAAATGCAAATTCAAATAAACTGAAAATGCACATGAACAAGAATTATTAGAAGAACCCTGGCAACATGGAAAATCAGAACTGGTCAATACCCTTAAGAGATTACAAGGGAGATACAAGTAGAAATATCATTTATAGAGAAATTGTTGAAATGGCAGAAATAGAATTCAGAATATGGACAGCAAATAAAAAGAAGGAATTGACAAGAAGTTGGAAAAATAATTGCAAAGGAATGCCAAAACTGTCTCAAGGAATCAGTGAAATTAAAGACAAAAATCTCCAAGGATCTGGACATAATTAGGGAGAACAAAGCAGAGTTTAAGGAATTGAAGCAGACATTCAAGTAGGTTCAAAAATGCCATAGAGATTCAGCAATAGAGTAGAACATGGAGAAGAAATAATCTCAGAAATTGAAGTCAAGTCTTCTGAACTAACCCAATCATTCATGGAGACAGAAAAAAAGAATAAAAGCAGAAAATTCCCTAAGCAAAATATGGGACTATACCAAATGCACAAATATTCCAGTAATAGGGATTCCTGAAGGAGAAGAGAGCCGAAAAATATGGAAACTCTACTTCAAGACATCATGGTGGAGAATTTCCCAAGCATAGGGAGAGACCCAGGAATTCAGACACAATACAGTTTCAGAACCCCTGCATGACTTCATTCAAACAAAGCATTTTCTAGACATACTGTAGTTAACTTAACCAAAGTCAAACTGAAAGAAGAAATTCTGCATGAAGCCAGTCATAAGCTATTTCTTATCTGCAAAGGGAAAAATGCCAGAATGACAGCAGACTTTTGAGCTGAAATTTTTCAACCCAGGAGAAGGTAGTCATCTAACTTTTAAACAAAACAATTTTCAGCCTGGAATTTTGTATCGTGTTAATGTAAGTTGTCTTATTTGATGGTGAAATAAAATCTTTTACTGAAATGCAAACTTTGAGGGAATCTGCCACAAGACCAGCTCTGCAAGAGGCACTCAGACCTTTTCTTCACACTGACGATCACAATGAACCACCAGAAAACTAGAAATAAACAGAGCGTAAGAAACAAAGACTAGCTTCCATATGGTGTAAGGAATAAAGTAAGCAGTCACACCTTCAAATAATTAAACAGAACTCCACCATATTTATCAATTCTCTCATTGAATTGCACATTGAATTGGCACAGGCTGGCTAAATGGATAAAAAAGCACAAATCAAATATATGTTATATTCAGGAAACACATCTGACCACTAAGGACAAAACAAGGGTTGAAATATTGGAAGTCAATGTTTCAGGCAAATAGAAATCAGAAAAAAGTAGGGGTTGCAATTTTATTTGCAGATACAGTTGTATTTAACCAATAAAAATAAAGGAAGACAAAGATGGGTACAGTGGACTGGTCAAGGTAAAAATACAACAAGAAGACATTCCAATCCTAAATATCTATGTACCCAATGTAAACACTGCTAGATATATAAGAGAAACCCTAACCTACCTGAGCAATATGAAGTATTGCAGAACCATAGTAGCTGGGGATTTCAGCACCCCTCTGACAGAACTACACAGATACTCCAAACAGAAACTGAACAAACCAAAAATAAAGGACTTTATTTCAATTTTAGAACAAATGAGCTTAGCACTCATATAAAGTACATTCCATAACAATAAAATTGAGTGAACATTCTTCTCATCAGCCCACGGATGATCCTTCAAAATTCATCATATTTTTGAGCCCAAATTAAATTTTAACAAATTTAAGAAAATAAAAATTAGGCGGCACCTGTGGCTCAAAAAAGTAGCACCAGCCCCATATGCCAGAAGTGGCAGGTTCAAACACAGCTAAAGCCAATAAAAAAAAGGGAAAGAAAATAAAAATTATACCTTGTATCTTTTGGACCATAACAGCATAAAAGTAGAATTCAACTCCCACAAAAATGTTCATCCTCACATAAAATTATGGGAACTAGTCAACCTTATGCTGAACAATAGCTAGGTTAAGGAGGAGGTAAAGAAGGAAATCATTAGGTTTCTTAAAAAATGCAACAGTGAAGCCACAAGCTGTCAAACCTGAGGGATGCTGCAAAGGCAGTTCTAAGACGCAAATTTATTATGTTAAATGCTCACATCAAAAAAACAGAAAGAGTTCAAAAGAATAACCTAACAAGTCATCACATGGAACTGGAAAATGAAAAGTAATCTAATCCCAAACCTAGCAGAAGAAAAGAAATGACCAAAATTAGATCAAAATTATATGAAATTGAGAACATAAGCATCATTCAGAAGATTGGGAAAACAAAAAGTTGGTTCTTTGAAAAGATTAATAACATCAGTAAACCATTGCCCAGATTAACTAGAACCAGAAAAGTGAGATCTCTAATAAATTAGAAGTGAAAAATGGTTAATAACAGATACCACTGAGATACAAAAGATCATCACTGATTACTAAAAAAAAAATTTATGCCAGGAAATTTGAAAATGTGGAGAAAATGAAAACCAACACCTCCATAAACTCAACCAAAAAGAATTAGAAATTGAACAGACTACTCATTTTTTTTTGAACAGACTACTCTTGAGTGCCTAATTTGAAACAATAATAAAGTTTTCCAAAAAAAAAAAATCTTAGAATATGGTTTTACGCCAAAATTCTACCAAACCTTCAAAGCGGTGCTAGCTTACACGATATTGCAGAACCTATTGCAAAACACAGAGAAGGAACTGTCCCTAACACATTCTAACCAGCCATGCAGTGCCATCTGATCTTCATAAACAAAATGAAAGCATACACTGGGGAAAGCAATCCCTATTTAATAAATGGTTCTGGGAGGACTGATCAGCACATGTATACTGAAATTGGACTTATACCTCTTACCACTTAGGAAAATTGAGTTACTCTGGATAGAAAATTTAAATCTTAGACATGAAATGATAAAAATCATATAAGATTACTTAGAGAATATTTCTTGGATCTGCTTTAATAAATTCTGCTCATTTATGAATACAAGTATATATAAATATAAAATATTCATGAAGGAAAAAGTCATCAAAAAAATACAGCTAAGATATAATCACAAAATCTGATGAATATTTCCTACAAGATATATATGTAGGTATGTATGTACACCTAAGGAATAAACTGGAAAAAATATTTTCAATTATTATAGTCCTTTAAATTATATAAATATGATTGTATTTTTCTGCTAGGGGTGTCACAGGAAAGTACCACAGATTAGGTACAAATACATTTTCTCACAATTTTGGAGGCTAAAATTCTGAAATCAAGGTGTCAGCATCCTCAATTTCTTCTGAGGCCTCTTTCCTTGTCATATAAATAGTCGGATTTTCCCTGTTCCTTTATATGGTGTTCCCTCTGTATGTCTGTGTCCTATTTCCTCTTATACAGAAACGAGTTGTAATGGATTTGGACCCACCTCAGTTATCTCCCTTTCACTTAATTACCTCTTTAATGACCTTATCTCCAAATATAGTCACATTATGAGTTCCTGGCCAAGGGACTTTTCATTTGACTTTTGGAGGAACACAGTTCAGCCAGTGCTGCTGAATGCACCCAGAT